TTGCTTCACAATCAGAATCAGAAACATCTTGCAGAAACATCATACAAGGGATTTGTCTTGATGGGTGTGTCCTGGTATAAACAAACAACATGCAAGACGATTTCAAGACAATTTACAAGAATTTTCATATGAAATTTGAACACATATTTTTACACTAGACTGTCTACCAAGTCAGAAGCAACATGGGCTAACATAAATAAATAATGAATGTAAGTAAACAGGGGTGCTGCTGGGAAGAGTTATAGGAACACTGGGTAATGCAGGTCTACAGAGTAAAAGTCCAGACCGGGATTTTCATTCAACCAACCAGCATAAAATCCCAGTCTGAACTTTTACTCTCTGGACCTGAATTACCCAACTCTGGGAACACAGCTAACTAAAATTAATAGTAGTATATTCAGATCAGTGGGAACAAGGAAGCTGAATATATTTCCCCTGTATTTCATCCTGTGTTTGACAGGAACTGGTCAGTGCTGCACAGTGCTGGTAGACTCAGTGCTGCACAGTGCTGGTAGACTCAGTGCTGCACAGTGCTGGTAGACTCAATGCTGTCTTCAAAAGATCAGACTTTTACCAACTGCTCATTAAACTCTATTATTGGGAAGTTCAACATTCCACTGCAGTGCCTATTTTGGTCATGTGAGGGGGTGGTCCAGAAGGGCTTGGGAATGTCTGTTTACATGTCTGTGTGTGGGGGGGGGGACTCTGTGTATCTGCTGATGATGCCCCCGCTTCATGTGCCGCTTCCAGTTAATGGCAAGACCCGATTCCTTTTATAATTCAGATCCAGTGCTGCATCGCACTCAGAAAGCACTTTCAACAGGGTCTCTATACAATATGTCCACTTTAAATAGTTATTATTTAGGTATTGTATATGACAGGGAGATTGAGACTGGCAAGTGCTTAAAGTGTGTAAGTATGGCAGAGTCCGATTAGGACTCAGAACATTCCTCCCCGAGACACACTGACATTGTCCCATTTATAAATTCACTGGAAACTTACCTGGAAGGACCTGGGTGAGCAGAGGAGGCTCTGTTCTCATTAACAATGAACTTCATTATTTTGCGTGTAGCACCAGTGCCTAGCCATACAGGATGGAAACACGAACGGGGACTCCAAGGTTTCCTCCATGGTCCAAAAATGTGCTAAGGTGAAGTGGAGTTGCCAAATTCTCTATAGGTGTGACTGTGTGTGTGTGTGTGTGTGTGTATGTTCGGTTGTGTGGGTTATGCATATTTTACATACGGGGACCTTGTGGGGACATTTTTTGGTTCCCACAAGGGGAAACACTATTGAATACACTACATTGCTAAAAGTATTGGGACACCCCTCCAAATCGTTGAGGTGTTCCAATCACTTCCATAGCCACAGGTGTATAGAATCAAGCACCTAGGCATGCAGACTGCTTCTACAGACATCTGTGGAGGAATGGGTCACTCTCAGGAGCTCAGTGAATTCAAGCGTGGCACCCGTGCAGTAAGTCCATTCGTGAAATTTCCTTGCTAATAAATATTCCTCGGTGAACAGTTAGTGGTATTATAACAAAGTGGAAGCAATTGGGAACAACAGCAACTCAGCCATAAAGTGTTAGGCCACGTAAAATCCCAGAGCGGGGACAACGCATGCTGAGACGCACAGTGTGCAGAAGACACCGGCTGCAGAGTCAATAGCTACAGACCTCGAAACTTTGTGCGGCCTTCAGATTAGCTCAAGGACAGTGCGTAGAGAACTGCATGGAATGTGTTTCCATGGCCGACCAGCTGCATCCAAGCCTTACATCACCAAGTGCAATGCAAAGCATTGGATGCAGTGGTGTAAAGCACACTGCCACTGGACTCTAGAGCACTGGAGACATGTTCTGTGGAGTGATGAATAACACTTCTCTTTGGCAATCCGATGGACGAGTCTGGGTTTGGCGGTTGCCAGGAGAACGGTACCTGCCTGACTGCATTGAGCCAAGTTTAAAGTTTGGTGGATGAGGGATTATGGTGTGGGGTTGTTTCTCAGGGATTGGGCTTGGCCCCTTAGTTCCAGTGAAAGGAACTCTTAATGCTGCAGCATTCGAAGCCATTTTGGACAATTTCATGCTCCCAACTTCTTGGGAACAGTCTGGGGATGGACCCTTCCTCAAAGTCAAAGTCAAAGTCAAAGTCAGCTTTATTGTCAATTCCTTCTCATGCACTGGACATGCAAAGGAATCGAAATTGCGTTTCTCACTGTCCCATGCGCAGACAAGACAAAAGACATGACAGGATAGGACAAACAGTGAAGTGCTCAAGCACAACAACAAAAAACACATCCTAAGTACTGAGTAACAGTATATAAAGTATATAAAGTGTATAAAGTATAAAGTATAAAGTATAAAGTGCAGGCAGCTTAAGGCATATACTTTGGTACTGAGATATATAAAGTGTTTCCAGTTTTGTAAAAAGTGTTTCTGTGCAGAGAAATTCAATAATAGTAATGCTAGTAGTAGCAATAGCAGCTGTAATAGTAATAATAATAGAACAATAATATAATAATAATAATAATAATACAACAATAATATAATAATAATAATAATAGTAGTAGCTGATTGTGCAATTTGTATATTTCAGAGGTAGTTCAGAGGTAGTTTCAGTCGGGGGAGAGAGTTTAGTAGTCTCACAGCCTGGTGGATGAAGCTGTTGCTGAGTCTGGTAGTGCGGGAGCGGAGGCTCCTATACCTCCTTCCAGAGGGCAGGGGGCTGAACAGTTCGTGTGCAGGGTGGCTTGCATCGCTCACAATTGTGATGGCTTTGCGGGTGAGGCGGGTGGTGTATATATCCTTCAGGGAGGGGAGTGGTGCACCAATGATCCTCTCAGCTGTGCTCACAATGCGCTGTAGGGCTTTCCTGTTGTATTCAGTGCAGCTCCCACCCCACACAGTGATGCAGCTGGAAAGGACGCTCTCAATGGTTCCTCTGTAAAAGATGGTCATGATGGGTGGTGAAGCTCTTGCCTTCTTGAGTTTGCGCAGGAAGTAGAGGCGCTGCTGGGTCCTTTTCCAACATGACTGCGCACCAGTGCACAAAGCAAGGTCCTGGATGAGCGAGTCTGGTGTGGAGGGACATGACTGGGCTGCACAGAGCCCTGACCTCAACCCAATAGAACACCTTTGGGATGAATTAGAGTGGAGACTGCGAGCCAGGCCTCGCAGTCTCCACTCTAAGGTTAGGGATGGGTAGAGGTTAAGGGTGTCGTGATTGGGATTTGGGTTTTTCCCATAGAAATGAATGGACGGTCCCCATTTACAGTAGATAGGTACACCAATATGTGTGTGTGTGTGTGTGTGTGTGTGTGTGTGCGAGCGGGTTTACCTATCCTTATGGGGACATAATGTCCTCATAACGTGATAAATATCCGGTTTTTTTCCCTTATGGGGACCGGTTTCCTGGTCCCCATAAAGGAAAACTCTATTTTATAAAAATCAGTGACTGCTATGAAAAAACTAAAAATGCAAAAACTCTTGTATTTTGTTAGGTTATGGTTAGGGCAGGGTAGGGGTTAAAGTTGTCATAGTTAGCGTTAGCATTTTTCCCATAGAAGTGAATGAGTGGTCCCCATAAGGATATGTTTACCCTACATGTGCGTGTGTGTGTGTGTGTGTGTGTATGTCTGTGTGTGTGTGTGTGTGTGCGTGTGTGTGTGAGCACGCCCTTGCATCCGTTTGCAAGATGAACCTGCATAGGACCTGTGGTATAGAAGAATGAATGAATTCTGTTTTTCAGGATTCCATTTGTGTACTTTGTACTTTTTTGTTTGCACGACATTTACTTGTCTGCACTATGTGCACTATCTTTGCAGCTTGTCTGCGTTGCACTAAATGTATGTCCGTCCGTGCACTATGTACCTCGCTGCTGTACGCACAAGAATTTCCCCCCTGGCATCAATAACGTTTATCTAATCCAATCTAACCTTACATATTATTTGTTTATTGAGCTTAATTTGCAACATAATACAGGCACTGTGTTGTATTTTGGTTACCAGTGGAAACAAAATTGCAGAAATATTAATACTTTGACTGAAAGACGGATCCAAGTTTGAGCTGGAGTGGAACGTGAGCCTGACCTCCCCTCCATCCTCCAGCGGGTCGGCGACTCTGACACTGCCCCACTTTTCAGTTGGGCACCACCCTGGCTCATACACCCCAGGCCCCCAGCAAAACAAGGCGGAGACAGAAATTCCAGCGCTCTGCCATTGTTTATAGCAAGAGGTGATTCTTTTCTGTAAAAGACAGAAACGTTATCAGGTTACATAGCCTGCGGGAGCAGACGCTGCTCAGCTTGCTTTACCGCCGAACACCAGATCCTGTGTTATAAATATAATCCCAGTCTTGTGCAAGAGCATAAAACGAAGGGGCTGTTTGTGCAGAGCTGCGGTGCTGCGGAGCTGCGCTGGGACGCCGTGTTGACAGCGCTCTTGTTTCAGGGAATGCACACCCCTCATTAACGCTTAACACTCACCTCCTGGAGGATGTCACTGCATGACCGCAGGACTGGGGGCGGGGGGGGGGGGGACACCCTTTTAGAGAAGCATTAAGAATGCGGTGATGCTGAATCACAGAAAATACTGACAATTTCATGCAAACTGCTGTTTGTTGATTTGTTTGTTTGTTTATTAAAGCCCAAATTATAGTCCTGTCATTATTAACAATAGGTTATATCTGAGCTTTTATAAAAACATACAAGTGGACATGACTGAACACTACACCCCCCTAGTTTGGATGCAGTCATGGGAATCTGTATCTACAATACATTCTTAGAACAGCCACACACAAATAATGCTTGAGGGACAACCAACCTCACTGTACCAACAATGCCCTGTGGGTAACTAGGCCTGGGGTTGGGGGGGGTAGCATTCCTTGCTTGTCACATTCCTCCTGCTACACTTCCTCCCTCAAGGCTGAGCACCAAGACTCCAGGATGAGGACATGCTAACCTGACATTCAGGCCCAGACTAAGAGAATCAGTGAAATTAACTTCATCCATGTCGATTACATCTTGGAGATCAGCGTCACGCTGGAGGGAAGCAGGCCGCGCGCATGTTTGTGCTAGAAACACGAGAGCGTGGAGAAGATGTTAATGTGAGGCACTTCCCATGTTACCCACCGTGTTTGCACATTAGCAAACATCTTCGCGATTCAGTAGCAAAAAGTAGCCGAATATTTCGTCATTGTTAAGATGCATTTACGGTTTTTTCTTTTGGCTTTCATACAGCCTGCCTTACGGTACACACACAGCAATTAGGCATGCAAAATGCAATTAAGTTATCGAAAATATATTAAAACCATTACAAGTGAATTATCCCCCTTTGGGCGTACAGCTTGCACTATACGTGTTTTTCCCTTGACGCGTTGGGCGTGTGCCCTCACCTAGGCGCTGTTCCTCATTAGAGTTCCCGTGAAGCGCGCTGCCGCGAAGCGCGCTACCGAGCGCCTCTAGTCCGCTCGAAATGGGCCTCGAAAAGGAGAAATCCGAGACTAAGGTACTTGTGGATCATATTGACGGTGATGATGGTGGCGATCTCAGCCGATCAATGAGACCGATTCTGGGCTGGAATGAGAAGGTGTCCCGGGTGACTGAAGACAGAGATCCTCACGGCATAAACACAGAGCTGCAGGTAAAGGTGCATTCCCACTCTGGGCTAAAAACTGTTTGTGTGCAGACTTTATCTGGGTTGCATTCGTGTCAGTCGCAGTCACGCACGGGCGATTCATTTAATTGTTTGAAATTGTATGAAAGTCGCTTCTTTAGGTCTGGTCATGGTCATCATAGCCCCGTATAGGGGTGCCGACTTGCTCTGTCGCAGCAGGCGGCGTCCCGTAGTCTGTCCCTAAACGCAGGTGTGTATGTGTGTGCGTGCGCGCAGGTTGGCTTTCCAGACATCATCGGCGAGCCGCCCGGCGTCCGCAGTTTTGACGCGGTGTGGATCTGCAGCCATGCCGCTCTGGAGCTGCTGAAATACTCGCTTTACCGGCTGCTCACCGCTCTGCTCGCGGTGCCAGTGTCGTTCATCGCCGGACTTCTGTTCGCCGTCACCAGCTGCATAAATATTTGGTATGATTTTGTTGTTTTGATATGAATATAAAATAATTATTTTCCAAATGCCTCTCAAGAAGGCAGAGCATATCACGTGTTTGTTGCTTTATATTTAAATTTTTATATTTAAATTCTAATTGGTGTAGATAGTCTCCTTAAATTTTATTGTAATTTTTTCTCGGTTGCTTACAAAGATTAATGGGTCACATTTTAAATGCTATGGAAACGCATAGTGATTATAGATAACAACACGATACTGACTTGAATTGGCCCCTAGCGCGTGCAAACCCAAACAGGTGCGCATGCGCTCATTCTGGGACGAATGTATCGCGGAAGCGGATACTGAAGGAAAATAAGAATTAAATGTGAAGTAGTCTGCTCTGGGGAATCATCACCCATGAGAAGTATTTTCTGTCCAGTGAGATTAGCCCTAGTGCCCTTTGTCCTACAGCAGTGACCTGGTGTGTTTCTTTCTTAGGCTGATCACGCCCTTGATGCGGAGCTGTGTCATGGCCATGTCCCCGGTCAAAACCGTCTGGAGCAGCTGGACCCTGCTTTTTGTCGAGCCCTTCTTCCGGAGTACAGGCCGATGCCTTGCGTCACTTAGTGTCCAAGCTGAGGATCACTGAGACGTGGGGAACCTCCAGAGGCTGATGCCTTCACTCGGAGGAACGTGCTTATGAGCAATGCCCTTTGCTCACTTTATTAATTTAGAGAGTAAAACAAACGTATTAATATGAACATTATTTGTCTGCAACATTTGGTGTCATATGAACAAAATGTGGCATATCGCTGAATAGTACTATGTGGCATTTTCACTATACCATGTTATTCGAATTCCTGCCTTAACGAGCCATAAATATATACCAATTCTGGGTATCCAAGTGAAGAAATCTAGGCGAAACAAGTGCCATCCGAACGCAGAAGAAGCATATCAATGAAATGAAATGAGGGCGAGTACCGATTCCCAGTAACGAATCATTACAGTAAGAGCCCAAAACAGAAGGTACATTTATTGTTTTTTAAAATATTGTTTTCATATCCTATTTTTCAATATAAATGTGCCTATTAAATGTCTTTATAAACTGCTAGAAAAAAGGGGTACAGCCCTTGTAGATTGTACAGCTAGGGTACAATTGGCAGACCCTTGAGGTTACAGCCCCTGTGACACATAATTGTACCCTCAAAGGTACACATTGGTACCTATGTACCTTGGAATTTTTTCTGACAGTGTATTACTATAAAATGTAATATATAGTACTGGAAAATAATAATAAAAGAATGAATATAAACACAAATGCATATTACATGTTTGTTATGCTGAATTTTGGGTGTCACGGAGAGTTGGGGAGATTAATTAGGTTTTCGTGGATGGACGAGGAACCAGTTACCCTGAAATCACAGGGTATAAACACAGGTGTCTTCTTATCTGTGATGCAAGATTGGGATTGAACTTGTGATTGTAATATGGATCTGTGTGATTTATGTATGTTTTTGTTTAGCTTTTGTTACAGCTGACCGGTTTTAATGCTCTGTAAGGGTGTTTTTGGCAAAGTGAAGCAGTTGTTGTTATTTGCCCGACAATAACACAATAATAAAAACAGAATTAACGCGTGGCTCTGCATCATGGGAGATATTCAAGGTGAGATGTAATCTGAAAGTGTTAGGCTTGGTCCTATCAGGGCAGGAGGTGTTGCTGGTGATCCTGTTTCCTCTGTCTTGTAGCCCTAAGTCCCTAGTGTGTTTCCCTGCTCCCTGGGCTGCCGCTTAGCTTAATGGGTTGAGTGTGTGGTTTTATGGCTATACCCCTTTAGTCCTGAGTTTGAGGCTCACCTGTTGTGTATTTTTTATTAGTTTATTCCTTGTGTTTCTGTACATGAGCAGTTACTAATAAACAGCAAGTTTTTGTTCATGTCACACCAATAACGTTTAATAAGTAATATTTTGCAGGTACGCATGTCCTTTGAAGTACCCCTTCACAGTAAATACAAAGCGGAGAAGGGGAATGGATACACGCAAGGTAGAAAGACAAACGTCATCTTCCTGAAGGACGCGCAGCTAGGCAGCCGCGTGCACGCGCTCTCCGGTCAGACTGGCCCGGTCCCCACGCCTCCCGCGCGCCGCCTCCGAAAAGCCGTCGTGCTGCTCACAGGCGCACGATCCGTTCGCACTCGGGACAGCATGACAGGAGGGATCAAAGACGAAGCACCTGAGGTAGGACTACCAAGCCCGATAAGATAAACTTACAAAATTAACACATCGTTCGCTTTGTAGACTCTCATGCATTGCATAATATTTTATTAAAAAGAACAAAACGCACATTATAAAGTGTGTGTGATGAAACGCTTGCGTTGCCTTAAGAGCTCAGATTGTCACATAATCTGGCAAAAGCATGATTCTTAATAAAAGTGAATCGACTTGCTGCGTTTTTTTGTTTTTTTTTTTAACATTTTTTCTTCCTTTTCAGTTATATTGCCAGTCTTAATGGTTAGCTTGTATTTCGTTGAAAAAGTATAGCAAGTTTTATACATTTAACTTACTACGTGCGCCTTGTATCGCAGTGCTGGAAACTCACGTAGGGCGTTAGTGGGTCGTACTTGGGGCGGGGGCGGGGTATTACCCAGTAGTGCTCCCGAGGCCCCCTTGTGGTGGGACACAATACTCCCGATGGGTGTGGTGTTGTTACCTTTCATCCACTTATAACCATCTCGATCTGCAGCAAGCTGCAGGTTTAGACGCTGATATAACCCCCCTGTCTTAACACCCTTTAACTTTTCCCTTTCTCTGGACTTCGACGTAATCAAAGGATTTCCCCCACTCGCCATTCATAAGGAAACAAGGAAATATATACAAACCTAATAATAAAACTATGGATAACGACAGCATTAACGAGAAGACCCTGGAAGATGTTCACACGAAGGAAATTGACCTGGTTAATCGGGACCCCAAGCACTTGAACGACGAGGTAGTGAAGGTTAGTCCAAGTCGCCGTTACCAGCAAGGACTCAACGCGAGTTAACAGTCTACGGTAACCGCGCGCCATCAGTAATGTGAATAATAATAATAATAATATCTTTTACGTTGTTATGCAGTCTAAATTGGATATTTCAATAACGTTCTAAGTGTAGCATGTATTATTTGGCTAGTTTTATTGCTTAACAAGTGGTGCTTATTACAGTTATAATTATTTGCTTCAAGTAGTCTTTTATTGCATTTTGGAACACCTGTTGAAGAAGCGTTAATTCTTTGGTTATTGCATTCATATTATCTTGTTCATCTTGATGGAGTTCGTAAAACTTTGTGTTACTGCTATGCAAATATTTACTCATACCCGCTGACAATTCAGAATGGAACATTAAATATTTGTAGGAAGAGCTGTTGATTCCAAGGAATCGTTCATCCATCAGCAAAGACTGGCGCTCCAAACATCTGTTGCAAACATGAAAGATAAGGTAGCTTCAGGGATCCGCCCGCTCCGATGCAGCCAATTCGCACGGGTTTATTTAAAGCCGTGAGATCAGTTACTCCCGAGTGTGAACTTTTATACAAACATAATGAATCCAGCGCTAAGCAGATGGATAATAGATTTGGAAAAACACTGCACCTCGAGGCAGATATTTGTAAGGAGCCATAGCAAAGAGCCTGGGACAGCCTGTGACATCCACAAAGCGAGAACTGCCAAGTTATTCCCGGCATTGACTCGTCCGTGCAGTTTACGTACAGTGGATTCCTGCGTGGTCTTTATGTACTTTATGCACAGTGGATTGCTGCGTGGTCTTCATGCAGTCTATGCACAGTGGAATCCCGTGTGTAAAGCTTACGAATACAGCAGATATCCAAGAAAAAATAAAAATGGGATCCAAATATAACTGTAGTCAAGTGATTATGGCCCCATGATTGTGTGTCATCAAAGAAGTTCTCAGGCTACTTCTATCCACTAATCTGAGAAAATCAAAGGACAGAGAAAAATCTGTGCCCCATAAACTACAGATATGCTGGAAAATAGGACCATGTGATCCGGGGCTGTGACACGCAGCGATTTATAACATGCGCTCTCAACCGTCCTGATTTTTCAGTTGTTACTCGGGTTAAAGTGGTTTATAGTTTTATATAGTTTTTATTTAAGTATAGATTTAAGCGAAATGCAACCAAACATTCACCCGGAAAAATAAGAGTCTAGAAGGGAAGTGGCTGAGTCCGAATGGAGCCGCCATGTTTGGAAACAGCGTCCTATAGGCCAAGACGGCTGGGCTGCACATTGTGAAGCTGCCTTGAATCTGTAGAGCATGGTGCCTGAAAGCTGAGAAATCAGAAACGTCTATTAGTTTCGCATTGCTCTACCAGATGGGTTTCTTTAATCAAGGTTAATTTTTATTATAACTTCCATTGCAGACCTACTACTAGGGAAGTAGTCTAGCTTCTCTGTGGGCTCCAGACTGACGTGGGGGTCCCCAAAGTGGGACATTTCAGCTAATTTTTGGAGTCAAAAGAGAAAGGAGAGGGAATTAAAAACGATGGGACATCAATAACTTGCTAATGGAAGCGCTGGGTGCCAGCGGTACAGCTTACCGATTAGGGGTGCTGGATGAATGGCCGACCCCAGGCTTTGCTCTTTCCTGCGTAAATCTCGTAGGAGAGCAAGACGAGACACATGGAAGCTAATGAATTCCTGTGTACCTGCATTCATACTCGGGCAAATAAAACGGGCAATTTCATTTTCAATTTCCCCTCCAGGTGGACTTCGAGGACGTGATCGCCGAGCCCGCGGGCACCTACAGCTTCGACGGCGTGTGGAAGGCCAGCTTCACCACCTTCACCGTTACTAAGTACTGGTGCTACCGGCTGCTGACGGCGCTGGTGGGCATCCCGCTGGCACTGATCTGGGGCATCTTCTTTGCCATCCTCTCCTTCCTGCACATCTGGGCCGTGGTCCCATGCCTCAAGAGCTACCTGATCGAGATCCACTGCGTGAGCCGGGTCTACTCCATCTGCATCCACACCTTCTGCGACCCCTTCTTCGAGGCCGTTGGAAAGTGCTTCAGCAGCATGCGTATGCGGCTGGCCAAGGAGGTGTAACACTGGGAACGGACCAGTAGGATGCGGTCAAATATCCAATCTGAGCAGGGGCAGGTGTAGGGAGGCTGCTTATATATCTAACTGCCCCCCTACCCCACACAAGCTCCTCATTACCTCCCCCTGACCACAGATACAGGAAATCAGCAGTCATGACTTCCTGTTGTTGTATTACCCTTCCTACAGTTCTTTCTTCCCCAAGCATTTAATGGGACTCATTCCACATCTTTCGCTAATTTACTTTGCAACGGGCAAAGTTCTGTTGCGGGATACTAAACGAGAGCCGCAGAGAGAAGGTTCCCCCGACGGCGGTGAATGCAGACGAGCTCATCGCTTATGCTCTCGCCGCAGGTGCTTCTGAGAAACTCGTAGTTTCAAAGACGAAATGATTCTAGCCACCCTGTCACAAGCTTGTATTTCCTGTTTTCACGCCACATAACTAGACCCTTAAGCCTAACTCAAAACGCCATTGCAGAGCTCTTGCACAAAGCTGTCATATCTTACTCAAGTGCCACAGTGGGGCCTCACCTTCCCATGCCTATAAAATCACTGTAAACACGAGGTAGACCTCGGTCTTGCTGTATTCGCTGATAGTTGAGTCCTTACTGTTCTATGTATATTAAATGAGATGAAACTCCTCATTCATTCTGAGCACAGACACTGGTCGGGACCTCTTCATACATCAGTCTTAAATGTTCCTTCACTTTCATTTGAAGACCATTAGATGGGTGCTTTTTGCAGAGACCAGCTCACTTTGACATCGCGACTGCACGCCTACTATTCTTGAAGAGCGTAGTTTGAATATTTTTTATGTGTATTGGAGTTTACCTGCTTTTACTGTATTTCTACAACCTGAGCACATTAAAATCTGCTTTACCTGTCTGTATTGTAATGGCCTTTTACTTCGTGGACTCCTGGTTGTTTTTGTGTGAGCCATTAAAACGTTGACATTCGCTCATCCCACCTCGTAAAACACACTGGACTTCTGTGTGACCTCCAAGTTCCCTTCAAGCATAAAGACAAATACATAATACAATAAATAGCAGGAAATCAATTTGCAGGACATTCACAGACCAAGATACATGCAGGAATTTATGTAAAATAGTCCTTGTTGACTGGCACCCAGCCTTGTGCCTGTTTTAAAGTTTTTTTTGTGATCATTTCTTTGTTATAACTTTTACAAAGCAATAGGCGTGGAGGCGACAAAAGAACAGCAAGATGAAAGTGAATAAAACACAAGAGGATCCATCTCATGGCACCAGACTGGTAACTGGCAAAGTGACACAGGCACTGTCTCACTGTCTCACTGCTCTTGGGAGCCCTTGACTTACTGCCTGACTCGCACAACGTGAGAAACACAGAAAACTCAAGAAAGACTATAGCCCCTTCAAATGTGTGGCTGGGGGGTTCCTCTCTCTGCTCAGCCTTAATTTGGGGGCCCCTATTCTACTTTAGTTTCACTTGGGAACTCTATATCTGCACAGCTTAAATTTGGCGGGGGGGGTATTCTGCTTGTTTTTCATTTGGGGGTCCCTAGTTCCGCTCTGTCTTGTTGTGGGACCCCTATTCTGCTCTTATTTCATTTGGGGGTCCCTAGTTCTGCTCGGTCTTGTTTTGGGGGGCCCTATTCTGCTCTTATTTCATTTGGGGGTCTGTAGTTTTGCTCTGTGTTCTTTTGGGGGCCCCTATTCTGCTCTTATTTCATTTGGGGGTCCCTAGTTCTGCTCTGTGTTCTTTTAAGGGCCCCTATTCTGGTCTTATTTAATTTGGGGGTCTGTAGTTTTGCTCTGTGTTCTTTTGGGGGACCCTATTCTGCTCTTATTTCATTTGGGGTCCCTAGTTCTGCTCTGTGTTCTTTTAGGGGCCCCTATTCTGCTCTTATTTCATTTGGGGGTCCCTAGTTCTGTTCCTACTTGTTGTGGGGCCCCTATTCNGGGGCCCCTATTCTGCTCTTATTTCATTTGGGGGTCCCTAGTTCTGTTCCTACTTGTTGTGGGGCCCCTATTCGGCTCTTATTTTCAGCCCTGCTCTTTTTTCATTTGTGGGTCCGTACTTCTGCTCTGTTTCTATTTGTCGATCCCTTGCTCAAACAAGGTTGAAAACCCCCTACTCTAAGGCAGGGAACCTCATCACTACATACAGGGAAAAATTCAGATATGCAAAAACTATTGGTATTAGCACAGAAAAGGCAGCAAAGCCGCGGGGAACTTCAGCACACTCTATTATCGTCATGTTGCCGTCGTCTTGGTTTAGCGACTTCTATCATTCTGAAAGAAAGCAGCGGCTGTCTCAACTCTGGAAAGTTTTCGCCACCTGCTGGTGAATTTAGAAACAACCTGATGGAAAAATACATGCTTAATGTATTAATCGTCAACTGCCAGCTGCGCTGAATATTCATCATGAAGGTATGTGAAGTATGAGAGCTTTGCTTTAATTTACACTTACATCAGCTAAAATTCCACTCCACATGTGCAACAGCTGAACCACTAGCAGCAAAGTCTCATGTGACGTGGAAATTGTACATTATTTATTAATCCAAATAGAAAAATTAGTAGCAGTAAGTTAATTGTCTTCACAAGCGCATTGTGCATAAAAGTCACTAACTCTCTGGTGATTCAGTAACTGCAGAGCTCCAAACTTCCTCTGGCATTAACCCCAGCACAAAAACTGTGCGCTGGGACCTTCATGGAATGGGCTTCCATGGCTGACTAGCTGCATGCAAGCCTCACATCACCGAGCACAATGCCAGGCGTCAGATGGAGTGGTATAAAGCACACCGCCACTGGACTGTGGAGCAGTGGAAACATGCTCTGTGGCGTGACAAATCGCGCTTCTTTGTCTGTCTGGCAGTCAAGTAGAGTCTGCAATTGGCGGATATCAGGAGAATGTTACCTGACTGCATTGTGCCAACTGTAAAGGGGGGGTAATGGTATGGGGTTGTTTTTCAGGGGGCTAGCCCCCTTAGTTCCAGTGAAGGGAACTCAATGCTTCAGCATATCGAAACACTTTGGACAATTCTATACTTCCAACTTTGTGGGAACAGTCTGGGGCCTGAACAGAGCCCTGATCTCAACCCCATCAAATACCTTTGGGATGAACTAGAACGGAGATTGTGAGCCAGGCCTTCCCATCCAGTATCAGTGCCTGACCTCACAAATGCTCTTCCCACTGATACACTCCAAAATCTTGTGGAAAGCTTCCCAGAAGAGTGACAGCTGTTGTAGCTGCCAATACCTTTGTGTGTATACCAATACCTTTCTGTGTGTATACCAATACCTTTGTGTGTATACCAATACTTTAGTCCATATAGTGTATATCAGGATGTCTCAGAGGTGGGGTTACAGCTTGACTTGGAAGGTGGACATGCTGTTCCCATAACTGGAAGGATGCTGATTCAAATCCAGCGGTCGGCAGAGTGATTTCAACAGAAGTAAGATCCTTAACCCCAATTACCCCAGGAACTGGTTGAGCCTGCTTTCCTAATGGTATGTCACATTTCTGCTAAATAAGTATCAGTAGGGGGGCATTTAATTAACTGTTGATCAGATCTGCATTAAAGGAAACAAGACTGAAATAACCTTCGGCCTCAGGGATTTGAAAATTAGTGGGATGGCGGGGCGGGGGGAGCTGTTATTATTTCCAAGACAATAATTTTATTGGTACTTTAATTGTAATCTACACTAACTGAATTGTTTTGGTGTTGGATGTTGATTCCCCGTACCCACCCCCACCACACAAAACACAAACACACTATGGACATCGGCGTGACCACATCCCTCCCTCTGTCTGTGACTTTAAAGTGGAAAACTGTGTGTGTGTGTGTTAAGAAACAGCCTAACCTTCATCATGGTCAGAGTAAGCATATTTAACACGTTTCATACAATTGCCTTTACTCCAGACTCTGTACCAGACACTTCCAGTGAAAGTTCTGATGCAAGGGGCCATGCCCTCTCTCGCAACTCTCACTAACACTAAATAGCAAGTCTAAACTGAATTAAGCTGCACTCGTCTCGGAAGAGAAATTCTCAGCTGCTGAATTTTTATATAGTTATATTTAGCTTCATTTTTTATTATTAAGCTCTAAAAAGTTACCGAGGTCCACACCTCGATGATCAGCTACAGGCATCATCTGCCCCCTCTCTCTGGTTACTGCTTAAAAAGAAATATTTCCCACAGACACCTTTATTTTTACGTTTAATTGGGTGCGTTGATACGTGTTATTTTGGTATTGTATCATGGAACAAGCTTGTCCCATCATGCCATAGCACCATGACATCATTTCCTGTCGAATGCCCTGATGGATTGCCTTTGGCAGGCGAACATGCACGTTCATTATGTTCTCAGTCTAATATCTTCCAAGAGTGACTCAGGTATGAAAGGAATGTTTCATACAAAACTATGCAGACTATTTTTATAGCTGATTCTGGAAGGTATCATCTGTTTGGAGCCATGTGATAGACATTTTGATTGATGTTTTTGTTCACCTCGCCCTAGAAAACAGGCCTTTGCTGACTTTCACCATTCATTCCGTCCACAAAGCATCTTTTTCATCGAGCCATTCCTAACCTCGACCAAAAAAACTGGTGTCTGCACAGCCCGATTGGCTGTCAATTTCATCTTCAGCTGAAACCTGCGTCACTCTCCCGCTTCAAATGTAACGATAATGTGTGGATGTGTAAAAATACACTGTCAAAAGCATACTGGGCTGCATATTAATCTGTCCCATTATCAATGTAAATCAAACATTAATGTCTATTGATGTACATCTCAATCTTTTACTGATCCTTTATTTGACACCACGCAGCTTGTAACTCCCCTCAATTACGAACACAAGTTGATCTCTGATCACAGGCACTTATTCGCATATCCATCCGGGCAGGCATGTCGTGAGAACTCGATAAAATAAAGCACATAAATCATAAAATGAATCAGTCACAGCCATTTTCCTAGAAATAACCGAACACAAGCATAAATACAGCTCGCACACGCCATTAACTTGCAAGTTGCAAAATTGCATCTCTCGTACCTCATTGGCCGCGTTAATTCAAGAGGAGTTAAAGAAAGAAAACTTGTTATTGCAGCTTTTCCAATAACTCAAATCTCCACGAATATCTACATTATAACTTAAAATATTTTCTCAGCCGCATAACAAGTGCTTCGCTTAACTGAGCAAAAAAATTTTACCAACAAAACTGACCAGACCCCAAGGTTAGTTCCGCTATAGAAATACTAGAAAGATCCTTACAAACATATGCCTTTAATTATAATTATGTTAATGAATACATTCTTCAAGTCAAATAATGCTGGAATTTGAATTATGTTTAAATTATTCTTATATTTAAATTAATTAAACTTAAAACAGCATAACTGACCCTAATGGCAGTTACACAGCCGACACGTATACTTTAAGTTCATTTTTAAATGATCAAGTCAAGTATTTCACGTTCAATTTAACCTTTCTATCGTTGCTGACTACAGAAACTCATTAAATCACGGTTATATTGACAAAGACGATTAAACCACAAAGGTAACCTGATTAAGTCCAAAGGGCTGAGACATCAGTCAGGGTGAACTGTGGCAGGAACATCCTGCTGAGTGTCTAATCTATCGATCTATGCTGATTAATTTGCTGCCCATCGTAATCATTCAGCAGTGACGTGCAGTCACTTTTAAATGAATCGTCATGGCATCACGCTGCAAAAACCTGATGCAGCCCCAACCCCACTGAGCTGAGAAAAGCGAAAAGTATCTCTAATCGAACGGGTATTTGAATGTAGGTGATAACAGACATAACTGGGCAACATTGTAAGCAATACTGCCCACGCGCTCCAGGGGGCGCTATCTTGAAGCGCCATTACCCATTGGCTTCCCTCCCTGCTGTC